CGTTAGTGGCCCCACCTCTGGGCGCCTGGCAGCCTCTATAGGTTGGGGACCACTGCTGTAAAGAAACACTGGAACTCTGAGTCCTAGTTTGATTCAGGCTCAGACACTCCTTCCCGATGGGTTTCTGGAACCTGGTGTCCGAGCCCTATGTTAGTTCAATTTGCGTATAGAAGGAAGGGATGTTGGGCTTGAGCCTGAGCTAAAATCATGGGCTTATACTGCAATGTAGACATTGTGATGGAAACCCCTCCCCCCCTCATGCTTTATTAAATGGATTTATGGACATAAATATATATAAATCAAAGGTGCTTTGAGCAAATTATTTCTTGTAACCCATCAATCTTCATGTCATAATCCGCTGGTTCTGTTATCTTATTTTGGTGTATGTATCTTTCTTGTGTGTAAAATTAGACATATGGAATAGGGAATACTGTAGACAGGTAGATATAGAAAGCCATCAAGGCTAATTCTTCTTCCGGGAGGCCTCAATGTCTGGACAATCATATGCAAATAGCCTTTTGTCCTCAAGTCTCACCAATGGTTGGTGGGGAGTAGCCAGGTGACTCCCCATGCAATAAGGGAATTCTTTAAAGAGAATAGGCAGGTAGGAATCTTTTGTATTTGGCTGGCTGGACACCTGGAGAAGGTGAAGCAGACATCCCAGGGGAGGAAAGATGACCCTTGTTTTGAAAGCAGCTGGAAAAGAAACAATTTTAGAGTGGGCTTATAATAAGTTTGTGCTGAGGATTTTAGTATTAGAATTTTCTAAGTGCTTTTTGTTACTTTTTATTTGCAATCTAATTTGCTCTCTGTTCTCACTTATTACCACATAAATCCCACTGCTTGTACTTAATAAAATCACTTTTACTTAATGACAAGCTTAGTGTAAATAATTATTCCCTGGGGAAGCAACCAATGTGTACATTCTTTCATTGTTAAAGGGGGCTTACCTAAATAATTTATTAGGGGTTTTGATCCCATTTGGGGAGTTGTATCCCAGCAATCTGGGCCTAAAACTGCATTCTTCTTGGACCTGAAGAGGTTCAGTGTCTCTACTGCTTCCCGGGGGTGGAGGGTAGTGACCTCAGCTTGGTGTGTTGGTTGGGGGAGACCAGTGGAGCTGGCCCAGCAGGACTGAGTGGTGAGACTCCCCAGAGAGCAAGGAGGAGGATAGCAGTGGCCTTGTCAACACCCCCAAGGGTTCATCTCTAACCTCTCCCCATCACAGACACACCCTAATTTACACCAGTTTAACACACCCATAACGTTAGTAATTAGCTTCTACAAAGTTATGTCAGTTCAAACAGGATCAAGATTAAGCCTCCCAAAACTCAGAACAGGCTTGTAAAAAGGTTCATTACGCTTCACCAAACTTTTGAGCAGATATTGCTCAAGTTGTGTATGAATCAGAGTTAAAAATTATCATAGAATCATAGAATCCTAGGGCTGGAAGAAACCCTGTTGACTCATATCCAGCTTCTCATCCACTGTAATCCCCAGGTCCTTTTCTGCTGAACTGCTACTTAGCTCAGGTGATGGAACTTTGCTTTGAGATTTTTGCATACATGTGAACACAAAATTTAACAAAATATTGAGTTTGAAGCATCAACTCACGTGATCCAAAACCAGAGCCAGATTTTCAGTTAGTGTAAATTGGCAGAGCTCCATTGACAGGAAGCAGGACGTCAACAGAGCTACACTGATTTACATCACCCAATGATATGACCCAATGTTTCTAAGAATGTCCAGTGAACTGAAGGTGAAGAGTTTTGTGCTGCTGTAATTGGCTAGATCTACACTGCAGAGCTTTTCTGGGATACCGGAGATATTCCATAAAAGCTCTGCATCATCCAAGGAATGCATCTGATTTTTTCCAAAAACAATTTCAGAAAAGGAGACGCGTTTTTTTGGCCATTCCAGTAAACTTTGTTCTACAAGGAACAAGGGATCTTCCGAAAGAGGTTTTTTTTCCAACATTTGGCCCCGTGTAGGTGGGCCAAATGTTGGAAAAGCCTCTTTCGAAAGAAAAGTGGAAAAAGATACGCAAATTGTGGTTTGCAATTTGCATATCTTTTTCCCACTTTTCTTTGTAGTGTACACATAGCCATTGTAAGCACCTTATATATTTCCTTCAGAAATATCACTGTATGCTTAGCACACAATACTGAATACCTGGTTACAATTCAGCCGTATGTCTTAGCTTGAGGTTTATTAGTATCTTCCTGACCCAGACATATAGTTTTCCAGAGAAAATACAACTTTAGTAATGCCTAGCCTTTTCTATTTGCCACATAAAGATTAATTCCAGCTGTGATGGGGTGCGGTCACAGATGACCCCTTGGGAGTGACTCCTGGGGTGCTGACATGGCCATTGCCACTTGCCTTCCTGCTTTCTGGGGCTCCTTACTGCCTGGTCCTGCTAGGCCAGCTCCACTGGTCTCCTCTAGCCAAGGCCCCAAATAGAGATCCCTGCCCCCACCGAGAAGCAGTACAGACACCGAACTTCTTCTGGTCTAAGGTGAGTGAAGTTTAGGGCCCAACTTCCTGGGATATCACTCCTCAAATAGGATCAGACCCCAAAGTATTAGGTAAGCCCCATTCAGCAATGAAAGGGGAAATGTTCACACTGGTTGTCCCCCCAGGTAGCAATTACTTACACTGGGTTTGATAGAAAATAAAAATTATTTTTTTAAGAAGAATCACTAGGATTTAAGTGGTAATAAGTGAGAACAGGACAAGCAAGGTAGATTACAAATCAAAAGAAACAAAATGCTTGGCTAATTCTACACTGAAACTTCCATACAAACTCTTCAAACTCACCCTAAAACCTCCTTTCCAGCCGCCCCTCCAAACCAGGGCACTCCCCTGCCCCCCAGGGACTTCAGCTCCTTTCCTTCAGGTGCAGCCCACCAAAAGATGAAGGCCTGCACTTTCCTATTCTTTTTGTTAAGGAATTGAAGACATTCCCTATCAAGTCCTGCTCAAATGTAAGGGAAAATGAGATTGTCTAACAGTTGCTCATCAAGACTTTGAAGGTAACACCCTCATATCTCTCATTCACACATTTGAAACCCACAAAGTATTCTCCACTCCATATGTCTACATTTACACATACACATAATACATACATCTAAGTAAGAGAAACAGAACCAGCAGATCATGACACGAAGATTGACGGGTTGAAATGATTTGCTCAAAGCACCTTTGAGTTATGTATATTGATGTCCATACATAGGTAACACCCTCATATCTCTCATTCACACATTTGAAACCCACAAAGTATTCTCCACTCCATATGTCTACATTTACACATACACATAATACATACATCTAAGTAAGAGAAACAGAACCAGCAGATCATGACACGAAGATTGACGGGTTGAAATGATTTGCTCAAAGCACCTTTGAGTTATGTATATTGATGTCCATACATCCATTTCATAAACCGGGGGGGGGGGGGGGGGGAACTAAAGGGGGGGAGTGTTCACACCGGCCACAGAAATGTAGGCAAAATTACATACACATCATTCAGCGTGAATAAGGTTAATTGCTAGACAT